AGTTTTATTAAGTAAAGACTTGTGTCGTTAAAGTTTCGTTGGAACGAAGTTAACGGAAAAATCAATTAACAAACGGAGACGTAACAGTATGTTTAAAAAATCTAAACTCGTGTGCATTTTATTTTTATTCTTTTCAGTGAAGAAGCTTTAAGTGGTATTCAGTATTGAACATTACACAAGATGGGGAGGAGAAAAAGTAAAAGGAAACCTCCTCCAAAACGAAAAGCCATTGAGGCTTTGGAGACACAATTCACATGTCCATTTTGTAATCACGAAAAGTCATGTGATGTAAAAATGTGAGTAATTATATTTTGCTGTCTGATACATGTATTATATGTCTTGTATACAAAAATATGGTACTAAAGTTACAATTTAAATGCCAAAGGTTGCCAAGCTATTGGAAACCAGTAGGCCTAAAAATTGTTATAAATATTAATTTAACTGCAAGTGTTTTTCCACATTCATTTGAAGAAAAAAAAGCATCTTGGGTAGCAACTTGTGGAAAACGAAAAATAGATTTCAAATACTATTTTTACACACCTGATTTTTGACCTGCGATAAATAAATTAAGAAGAATGGGGAAACAAAACATCTGCAGTTAACTTGATTTTTTATAACAAAAATATTACTTCTTTTTTACTCATTTAAATAATTGTAGTGCAGTTAGTATACAGTTGTGGTGATTTATATTTAAACCTATTATTGTCTGAATATATTCAGAAGTACTTCTCTTTCCAAAACAACTACTTTCATTAACATATGAAATTTGGCTATAGATTTAGGTTGTCCTAAGTCTCTATACTAAGCAAACAATCTGTATATATACATATATATATAGTAGCCAAATGTCAGTCATGCTCTCTATCTCCTGAATGGTTAATCATAGAAAAAAAATATATATCAGAATGCTTCTTTTCAACAGTGCATCACAGGAAGATTATTCATTTTTTGCAATTCCTTAAATTTCATGTTGATATCAACATTGATTCATCAGTCTTCTTATGTACTGAACAGTCAGTCTGAGAAAAACTTATGAAGAAAAATATTTCTTTTTGTGAGGAAATTTCACAAAAAAATGGCACTTTTGTTTCATCACTCTTTCTCCATAGAACTGATTGAAATACTTCAATGATAGGAGCATGAAACGGAAAAATATATAATGAGAACGTTGTTGTTGTTTGGTTCACACACACACAA